AGCATACTTCAGGAATGAAGAGTCAGTAAGTCATAGATCGAGTGCCTACACTTTTTATCATTTTATTCCCCCAAATGGTAGATACTGTCTTTCCAATTTTCAGATAAGAAAAACAAGGTATGTAGAAGCTGAGTAATTTGACCAAAGTCATAGTGGCAGTGAAAGAATTAGAATCAGGGCTGTCTGATAGTGAGACCTTCAGCTAGATCAGCAGTTCTAACCTAGTTCTCCTTTATCACACACAACAGATGAGGACCACATACTAAACACACTCCAACAGGCTACCTGGGGTTGAGTGCAATCCCTGGCCTCTTCCTGTAATTCAACCCTTTTCTCTCCTATTCAAGAAAGCAAATCAGGATGCAGTGAGAGTGGCATTCTTACATGATCACCTTGAAGTGTCTTTAATCTAAAAGGAAAAAAACATTACCCAAAACCCACTAATACCTTCGCTAGTTGAACTTCAAATTATTCTAGACAAATCTTACGGACATGTCTTTCTGCCTCCTGAGTGAGTGCTAAGTTGCTTTGGTTGCATCCAACTCTGCGATCCCATGGACTGTAGCCCGCCAGGCTCCTCTGTCCATGGGATTCTCCAGGCAGGAATACTGGAGTGGTTTGCCATGCCCTCTTCCAGGGGATCTTCCCTACCCAGGGATCAAACTCAGGTCCCCTTTGTTTTCTGCATTGCAGGCGGATTCTTTACCACTGAGCCACCAGGGAAGCCCTTCCTGTCTCCTACTATAAAGTAGAAGCATCCTTTTACACTTTCAGCACAGGCTGCAGGGATAATGAGATTTATAACTCATGTACCGAACAAGCACTGGAGTCAGAACTGTCAAGCTGAGCTCTTGATGTTTTCACATGAAGCCAACAAGTCTCTCAGTACCTTGGTCATGATGCTAGAAGCTTCCTCTACAAGTTCTAGCTGCAGCCAGTCCGGGTTTCACCTGGCTTGGCTGTAGTCCTGCTCTGATGACATTGCACTGAGAAGTTTGCTTTTATTAAATGCATCGACTCACCACTTTCAAAAAGCCTTAAGATGGCTTACAGTAGAGTCACAGAATTTAGGATTGCAAACAAATGGAACAATACTGAAAAGAATTGAGCAATGAAATGTGGGGAAGGAATGATTAGGCATGTTGAAGGGAACCAGTTACTCTTGTACAGGAGGTGCCTCTGAAATGTAAGCTGCAGTAACCAACCCCCTATCTGCACCCACAGCCCACCAGAGACGGGACAGTTCTTCATGTCCCTTTAGTAAATCATGAACTTTGGGTGATTATGAACATTAAGCACCTTTGTCTTTCGATCTCCTTCTATATGTTTGCAGTCACCATACTCAATCTGCCTAACGTATCTCTTACTGTGGCACTTATGTATCTCTCCTCAAAGCATCATATGAATTCTGTCCATGCTTCTTTCATATATTATTTCTTTCCATACTTAAAATAGCCCTAGTTGCTCCCTCCTTGCACCCCCAGGCCATTGGATCTTTTTTACTTGTTTATTTTTAACGGAAGGATAATTGCTTTACAGTATTCATTTGATTTCTACAATATTGGTTTGACTTCAACATGAATTAGCCATCAGTGAATCTGTGTCTCCTTCCTCTGGAACCTCCCTCCCCCCTCCCACCCTTTCCCACCCCTCTAGGTTTTTACAGAGCCCTGCCACTGGGTCTTTTACTTAAAAATTTTTAATCACAGTGGCAGCACTCTCACCATGTACTGAAAGGAGGTAATCACACATCAGTTTCCCCAACAATCTCGGGCTCTTCAAGGACAGGCATCTTGAGCTTCTGCACCCCCAGCCCCTGAACGATGCAGAGTAGGTGCATGTGTGCATGCCCAGTCACTCAGTGGTGTCCGACTCTTTGTGACCACATGGACTATAGCCTTCCAGGCTCCTCTGTCCGTGGGATTCTCCAGGCAAGAATACTGGAGTGGGTAGCCTTTCCCTTTTCCATAATATCTTCCCAACTTCCCAACTCAGGGACTGAACCCATGTCTCCTGCATTGGCAAGTGGATTCTTTACTACTGAGCCATCAACAAAGTCCACAGAGTAGGTGGTGTATCACTTTTTTCCTGAGTAAAGCAATAAAGGAATAAAAGCACCCACCATGTAGTTTAAGATGCACTGACATAGAGATGCTGTGAAGTTAATGACTGGCTGATGGTGTTTTTCTCCCAACACCCTGCTCAGATGGTGCCTGGTCTGATTGCAGAGGAACAGACAGATTGAAGGAAAATGGCCAGACTCTGGACCGCTGGGCATGTGCATCACTGCCCACCTTCCTGGGGGAAATGCTGCTCTCAGCTGCACAATCACGCTCCCCCTTGGAAGTCTGGATGAGCCCCAGGTGCTGTGCTTCCTGCCAAGTGTCATCATGACCGCCCCGTCCCCTCAGATGACAGTAATGAAGCAGGAACTTAATATACCTCACCTCCGCGTGTCTGGGGAAACCCTCTGTCATTTAGAATTTACTTGTGAGCCCCCATGGACACGTTCTTCTGTCTCTGGCATCTGTTCTTTGGTTAAAGCCCCTGGTGTGATGCTTTCTATCGTGATCTCTGCTTGGCTTAGCTCTGTTAGGCTCTGGCTTTTTTAGTAACATCCGTGAGAAATGAGATGATCATCTTGCATGTACCTTGTCATCACACTGATCATGACTGTGAGCTGAAAGTGAAGGCAAGCCTCATGGCACCAGGAGGTGACATCAAGGCCTGGCAGAAAGAGCTGTTCACCCATGCCAAGGCTGTGATCTGGTTCTGCCAGGCATCCCTTGCTTAACCGCCCAGACTGAGGCTCCGTGCCTTCATTATCCAGTCCAAAGTGTAATGTCTATATTTGTACTGGAGCCCCAAGGGGGGGAAACTGCATTATAATAAATGTGTGCTTTGCTAGCTACAGCATAATAAACATGATGCTCTAATTATCCATGTTTTCATAGAGCTAGGAAGCTAATCTCTTGAAGAATTAGTGTCTCTGGCAGACAGGCTCAGCATTTTGCATTGGTTTTGTGATGATACATAGCTTTGTAGGGTGTGTGTTTATGTCAGCATTTCAGCATCTCCAATAGGCACCATATTGGAAATATTTTGGTAGTGAGTCCAATTAGAAGTCAGTAGGTTGTAATCGGGCTTACCTGGTGGCTCAGTGGTAAAGAATCTGTCTGCAATTATGGAGACGCAGGAGATGCGGGTTCAATCCCTGGGTCAGGAAGATTCCCTGAGGAGGACATGGCAACCCACTCCAGTATTCTTGCCTGGAGAATTCCAGGGACAGAGGAGCCTGGCGGGCTATAGTCCATGGAGTTACAAAGAGTCAGACATACATGGCTGTAATCAGTTGGTGATCTGGTTCTGCCTTTCAATTCCGTTTTGTGAGAAAGTTCACTAAAGTAGCCTCAGATAGTGGGAGCTCACCCCAGTGGCTTCTGGAATCTCCTCCTCATTCTAGGTGGTGTCCAGGTTGATGGAGGTAGTGAGATTTGAGGGCCTGTGTATGAAAAACCCTGCTCTACATCCCATGTTGCTATTGGATTTCATGCTTTACTTTCCAGCAAGGATGAGTCAGCATTTTGAATCTAGGAAATATCACCTTGTGGAATATTCATTTATTTATTCTTTTGACAAATCATTCAGAGTCTGCCCTGTGTCACTAACTCTTCTAGCCACCTTGGATACAACAGTTGACTAAACAAAAACCTCTGATGTTCTAAGTGGGGGAGAGAGAAAAAAATGAAATAAATACATAAAATATATAATTTTGGAATGAAAAATGTACCACAGAAGAAAAGAAACAGGAAATAAAAGGGGAGTTTAGCCAGGGAGCTGTAATTTATAGTTTGTTTGGGAAAGTCTTCCCAGAAAATGTGACTTTACTTACGCCTAGTTCAAGTGTGATTATCTCAAGGGGAAAAATGTAAAATGATGGACTCTTTACGTGTAATAACTAAAACTGTTAACAACTGGTATCTTTGGGAGAGCATGTATAGCATTGCCCAGCTTCAGGCTGGAATTCCATATGGTGACAGCCCTCCCCAAATTCCCCTATTTTATCATATGACTTGGAGTCACCTTAGTGCCTGAGTCAGGGGCCCTGATACGGTCATCTTCAGATTCTACGTCCCAAACCAGTTTCAGGCACTTGGGTGGGGAGAATCGCTCTCCGAGGAACATGAGTACCTTTGGGGGACAGAGTTTCTCCATTTTGAAACCTCAGTTAAAGCTCCTCCTTCTCCCCACTGCTTCTTTCCTTTATAGATGATTTTTTTTTTTGAAGCTTCTTAAACTTTTAAAATTGTTCTCCCTTTTCTTTGAGACCCTCATCATACTTATAAAGAAAGGGAAAGTCCACAGGTATAAATTGGTAGTTCACATTATATTCCCATAAATCTTAATTATGCCTAGATTTTTAAAATATTTATTTTATTGAAATATAGTTGAGGGACTTCCCTGGTGGTCCAGTTTTTAGGATTCCACACTTCCCATGCAGGTGGCACAGGTTCAATCCCTGGTCAGGGAGCCAAGATCCCACATGCTTCACAGTCAAAAAACCAAAATGTAAAACAAGCAATATTGTAATGAATTCAATAAAGACTTTAAAAATGGTCCACATCAATAAAGTTTTTTTTAAAAAGAAACATAATTGATTAATAATCTTGTGTTAATTTCTGCTGTACAGTAGTGATTCAGCTCACATATGTATTCTCTTTCATATTCTCTTCCATTATGGTTTATTATAAGATGTTGAATATAGTTCTCTGTGCCATTCAGTAGGAACTTGTTCTTTATCTGTTCTCTATAAAATAGTTTGCATCCTAATCTCAAACTCTGAATCCATCTTTCCCCCACCCTCTCCTCCTTATACCTAGATTTTTGAAGTCTTTTCTCTCTGGACTCTGAGCAAACAGAACTCCACTATGAAACCATGGAAATCAAAGTTATGATAATAGTTATTCTGCAGTATCATCTAAATTTACCAGATTTTAGACATGAAAGAAACGTGGCAGGTTGAAAGTGAGAATGGGAGTGCACTGGAGAATGAGGGGCCCACAGAGGGTCATGCTGGCCTCCCGGCAATGCTGGTCCCTGTCTTCAGGTGCATCATTGTTGCCACAGCAACTTCATGGAAATGAGGAAGGTGGGCGGAGCTTGGTCCCAGCTCCTGAGTTTTCTGGACTCTCGTCATTCTCTGATGACTTTCTTGCCTTGAATCTGTCACTCTTTATTAAAGATGAAAGCTTTTCTCCATTAGCAGACTGATTCCAATGCCTGTTCAAACGGGTGAACTCAGGATACCTAGCTCTGAGCTAAAGAGCAACCGAATGTGGAAAGAATTTCTTCCTTTGAAGGTTAGTGAAGGATGAAACACTGGACTTCTATGAAGATAAGAACAGCCAACAGGGACACTAGTGAATAGAACAGCCCCTGCCCCACCCCCAGCAGAACTCTGTAGTGCAACTTCTCTTTCACAATGCGGATATGTATTGCTGAGTTATGAAATCACTCAACCCACACTTCATTTCAGTTCAGTTCAGTTCAGTCACTCAGTCATGTCCAACACTTTGCAACCCCATGAGTCGCAGCACGCCAGGTCTCCCTGTCCACCATCAACTCCCGGAGTTTACTCAAACTCATGCCCATCGAGTCGGTGATGCCATCCAGCCATCTCATCCTCTGTCGTCCCCTTCTCCTCCTGCCCCCAATCTCTCCCAGCATCAGGGTCTTTTCCAATGAGTCAACTCTTCGCATGAGATGGCCAAAGCACTGGAGTTTTAGCTTCAGCATCAGTCCTTCCAATGAACACCCAGGACTGATCTCCTTTAGGATGGACTGGTTGGATCTCCTTGCAGTCCAAGGGACTCTCAAGAGTCTTCTCCAACACCACAGTTCAAAAGCATCAATTCTTCGGTGCTCAGCTTTCTTCACAGTCCAACTCTCACATCCATACATGACCACTGGAAAAACCATAGCCTTGACCAGACGGACCTTTGTTGGCAAAGTGATGTCTCTGCTTTTTAATATGCTGTCTAGGTTGGTCATCACTTTCCTTCCAAGGAGGAAGCGTCTTTTAACTTCACGGCTGCACTTCATTTAGTGGCTGGTAATTGTACCGCTCTGGGCTTCCCTGGTGGCTCATCAGTGACAGAATCTGCCTGTGATGCAGGAGACCCGGGTCTGAACCCGGTTCAGAAAGCCCAACTACTTGATTTCCTGGAGTAGGCAATGGCTACTCACTCCAGTTTTCTTACCTGGAAAAGCCCACAGACAGAGGAGCCTGGTGGGTTACAGTCTATGGGGTCTCCAAGATTCAGATACGACTGAGTGACTGAACCACAATAACAACAGAATTACCTGGAGGACTTGCTAAAATGGGGTGCTGGGCCCCACTCAATACTGAAGTGGGGTCCAGATATTTCTTTTCCTAACAGAAATTGGAAGAATTTCCATCTGTTGACACTGTGTCTCCTGGACGACACTTTGAGAACCTCTGGTTCAACAAATACCTGTTTTCCACTTCCACGTGGCTGTCACTCTGCCAACAGGAAAATGCTTCTCTCTTTGTGGCAGAAATGTAGTAACATTCCATTTGTTGTTTCTTTCTTTGTATATTTTCTGATTTTTCTGAAAGTACCACAGAATGGTCCCAAAGGAAATATTTGTAAGCAGCTTCTTGTGAAACACAGCTAGACAAATAACATTCTGCTCATTGCAGCTGTATATTGAAATTCAAATTGATTTGTGTGCATGCTTTGTTTATGAGTAGCATTATTTATAAAACTTGGAATTGGACTGTCTTTGTGGAGTCATTATAACCATTCAGCTAACACCAAGTGATTCCTCTTTGCATCTAAAATTGACAGAGCTCACACATGAGCACTGAGTTAAATCCACATACTGCTCATCCTACTGAAGCTCCAGTATTGTATGCATCACTCATCTATGTGTCATATGATAAATGTCATATGTATAAACACATATGTGTGCGTGAGTACTCAGTCGCTCAGTTGTATTCACTATTTGCAACCCCATGGACAGTAACTGACCAGGCTTTGCTGTCCATGGAATTTCCCAGGCAAGAATACTGGAATGGGTTGCCACTTCCTTCTCCAGGGGATCTTCCTGAATGGATCAAACCCGCATCTCCTGCTTGGCAGGTGGGTTCTTTAGCACTGAGCCACCTGGGAAGCTTACCTTATGCCTTTACTTTAGAATAAATTCTGAGTGGGGCCCATTTCGAATGCTAATACTTCCTGGCAGTCAGACTTAGAAGGCTCATTCTGTAATTGATTGTTGTTTAACTGAGCAGGGGCTGCTCCCGAATTTCTAGATAAGTGGGGGCCCGGAACAGCAATCTAGTTCAAAGAAAGAGATAAGGAATTTGTTCTGAAGTTGTGTTTGTTAAGTAAATATGTTGACTTTACTTAGGGTGTACTGGCAAAGTTGTTTTCTTTTTAAAGACAACTTTGTATTTTATATGGTTTTTTCTCCACCTACACAGTTCTGTTTATTTTGCCTAGAAGAGGAAACCCAGTAGAAGTTCTTGGGATTCTAAAGCACCTCACCCTTGTTGCTGCCACTGTTGTAAAGTGCCCAGCATCTCTTTAAGGTGTCATAAGTATTACAAAGCAGAGACATCACTTTGCTGACAAAGGTCCATATCGTCAAAGCTATGGTTTTCCAGTAGTCATGTAGGGATGTGAGAGTTGAACCATAATGAAGGCTGACCACTGAAGAATTGATGCTTTTGAGTTGTGGTGCTAGAGAATACCCTTGAGAATCCCTTGGACTGCAAGGAGATCAAAATAGTCAATGCTAAAGGAAATCAACCCTGAATATTCATTGGAAGGACTGATGCTGAAGCTGAAGGTCTAATACTTTGGACACCTGATGCAAAGAGCCAACTCATTGAAAAAGACCCTGATGCTGGGAAAGATTGATGGCAGGAGGAGAAGGGGGCGACAGAGGATGAGATGGCTGAATGGCATCACTGACTCAATGGATATGAATTTGAGCAAACTCCAGAAGATGGTGAAGGACAGGGAAGTCTGTTGTGCTGCACTCCACTGGGTCACAAAAAAAGTCAGACACGACGTAGTGACTGAACACGACGTAGCAACAAAAACAGAGTGATTTGAAAAGATTTCAGTAAGAAACAAAATCTTCCCAGGAGGATTCTCTTTTTCTTAGTTTGGTTTCATTACTCCTGGCCACTTCTTCTTAACTGCATCTTGTATCTTGTTATAGCTAGCAATCCTCTCATCAGTTTCCCTATTTTATATTTTTCATCCAACGTTTCTCAATCAGCAATTCCTTTGCGAGTTAGTGTGTAGTTTCATAGAGGCTCAATTGACCCTTAAACTCGGTGGATTTGAACTATGTGGGTTCACTTATAGGTGGATTAATTTTCAATAGATATTACAGTGCCCCCCTGATCCCATGAGCAGGGGTCCTGGAACCGATCCCCCTTGGATAATAAGAAACAACTGTAGTTAAGACTTTTTTTTAGGGCTCTCAGAAGATACATTCTGTTTGAAAATGTATAAGAGCCTTGCCGCTATGCAGTGAAAATGGTGACTTTTGAGAGCTGACTTCTGCTTTCTGGGGCACCTTTGATCAGGTTGCTTTTGAAAGATACTCAGGAAGTGCAAGATAATTTTCACTCTTGGACACAACCTCAGAGAAGCCGAGTTCAAGCACAGAGCTGTGTGGTCTTTTTGCTGCCCCTTGTAGTGATGGCAACTGTGATTACAGCCCAGCATCCCTGAGTCCAGGGTCTCTGCTGGGAGTCACCTCCCCTGACGGAGAGCAGGTGTTAGAGCACCAAGGGAAGGGGCAGGAAAACAGAGCCCCGAGGAACTTTGAGAAATTGTAGGTCTGGCTTGATCGTTAAACATGTCATTGGCAAAGGTAGTTCTTGTTATGATGTAGCCTAATAGTTGGCTGGTTTTTTTTTTTTTTTTTGGTAAAATAAATCTTAAACAGAGTTCCAAAAGAAAGTGGTTTCAGAGTGTGTACTGCTATACATTCACATTACTAATTTTCAGACATAAAACAGATCCTGTTGGAGTTCATTTTTTAGGAGGATTTTTCTGTGAGTGACAAATTTCAGATATTCCAAAGCACTAACTGTAATTTCAGCCTCTGTAGTCTCAGTTAAAATTACTGAGTTGTTTTCTGTCTTTTTGTGCCAACAATATGTTCCTCTACATGACATAGCACATTTTCTGTGAAGAGTTTTTCCTACCACCTCGATTTCTAGTAGATCTCTAATGATATTAATTTTGAAAGGTTTAACTGATGCATGTTATATTTAAGCCAATAATGAAATAGACAGCAGCATCCCCTTAACCACTTTATCCTATACCCTTTTTCATTTTCCGTTTACTGTTGTGCATATTGAATATTTGTTCATCTACTCCCACTATATCTGCCAAGCACCCAGAACACTGTGGGTCCTCCTGAGAGGCATTCAGTGGATGTTCAGCAAATGATAATTAGCAGGGCTCCTTGTTCTTTCTACCTACTGACTTCTGTGTCTGTGTGCTAAACTGTGTACATCATTCTTACATTGGTTCCGGAACTATCCAAACTGATCACTAATTCCTCTTGAGCTTGCATGCAGTTAGCAACATCACTTTACAAATGTGACATTCTGAATAATTAATTTCTTGAATGATAACTCAGTAGGAACAATTGAATCATCAAAGATAAAGTTATGGGAACAGCAAAATGTAAATATCCCAAACTGAAGGAAAGCTAAAGGCTTTACTTGAAACATCTAAAGAGTCAATTGTAAAACTGGCAGAAAACAACTATAAGCATTCATTTCAGCTTTTCTGCAGTATGAAACTGGCCTATTGTCATACTCTCCTATGAATCACCAAGATTAGAGGTTTATTATGTGCAAATATTAAAACGACTCAAAGGATTTCTTTTGATCAATCACAGAAAAACTTCAAACAACCTGAATGCATTTTTCAAAATTTTTTAAATTAGCATTCTAATGTATGTTGTATGTGTCAATCACATTCAAAAGAAAAGGCAACAAATGGTCTATGCATTGCTTCATTTTGTGTTAATAAATGTGTCAGCTTT